GAATATATTAGAGGTATTCATGAATCTTTGTTTGAAGAAAGTTGTGTGACACAAAAATTTCCATTAAATCGTAAAATAGAAATAATTAGTTTTTTTTTAATGAAAACCTATCGCTTGGCTAAGCACTATACGAATTTACCTGCACTGCTTTCGTATAATTATATTCTTGAAATTGACGTACTCTTATTAGTCGAACCGGTACCCTCAATAAATTGCAAACTTAATGCATTTTGTGGTAATGGCAAACTACTTTGCACATAGATTACTATAAGCTTTAATATGACCCGCTGCAATTTCCACGGTGGCAGACCCACTTCTTCAAACGGAATCCAAAATTTCGGATTATCGATTTCTGCACGTAACTGATGACACACATAATAGCTGTTTTGTCGTTTAGTAACATTACACTGCTTAGCAATATTGGACTATAATTGTTGGTTAAATAAGGTCAGATATGAAATAATACTGCGCGTATACAGTGCTGTTTATTAAGAAGTAGACATAGGGATTTACGTGTATTGTTTTTCCCTATGTCTACTTTTAAATGACAAAATCTTATGAACGGCGCCTAATTTAATGCATCCAAAATAACTGCTCAAAACAAATAAAGATCTGGCTGTCATATTAATTAATTTGAGTATTGATGCTTTGGCTTCCCAGACATTAAATCTCTTACACTCATTAAACTGTTACCGGCACTATACGAATTGACCAGTTGAATTTTTTCTTCAGTTGAATACATCGCACACGGATGAAAATAAAAATACGGAAAATACAATACTCAAATTAATTAATATGACAGCCAGATCTTTATTTGTTTTAGGAGATTATTTTGCTTTCGTAAAATTAGATGCCGAGCATATTTTTTTTGTTGTCTTTATTTTATAGTGGGCTAATTAGCCCGTCCAAGACAACGAGATTTCCCAAAAACCAGTACGAAGTTCGCTAGTTCAATATAAAATTGGTTCTTTCTCCAGCAATCTACATCTTAACTGTCCTAAATTAAATCACAATCACCTTCATTTACGCCGCTACTCTGGTAGAACCAGCTGGAAAAAAACGTATGGTAGGAATCAGTTAATTTCGTAGAGAGCACAAATAAAACAAAACTAGAAGCTTATTGTTTCGGATAGTATCTCAGTACCTTTTATTATTCCGTTATTACAAAATATCTGCAGATGTATCGCAAATTTAAATACGTGGTTTTACTTATTTACAATTAACTAAAAATACATTTATAAGACTTAAAATGAGTTAATTTATAATAATCATTATTATTTATGACTTACAATTTGTAACATAACGCAAGCGCATTGAAGTGGAAACACAATTCGATTTGCTTATATAGCAAACAACATTCTCAAAGACGCTTCAGAATGTTCTCGAACAAACACGTCATATTTCCAGGAGAAATTACGTCACTTCCGCCTTCTTTCTTAATCGCCGATGACTATCATTTTCCATGGCGCCTCGATGTCTATAGAGATTTCTGGAATTTTTGCTACACTGAGCCCCTCCTAAAACAGTTGCGTCTCGCAAGACGGACGGCGGTGGTACCGGAGACACAATCCCAGGCAGCTCGCTGGTGCTGTAACGCGAACATGATGGCGATATTTTCACGACGATCCCCCCGTGCACCTTCCTATGTGGAAAAAAAATGTCTTGAGGGGTTCCTCTAGGGTTCAAGAAACAGATCAATATTTCCAACCCCCGTGCCCTGGAATACCACCTCTAACTTATCAAAGCCACATCCGATCTTTGTAATTGACAACTTGGTAACGCCATGAATTTGTAGTTGATGTTTCAAGTGCTCTACCAGGTTTATCACAAGACCGGTCCTTTGTTACCAGATAATGAAGAAATCGTCCCTGCTCCCGAAGGAAATACACTTTACCCACATCGGGACTTTGCAGATAAATGGCCTATGGCCCTTTTTAAATAACTCAACGCCTTTACATTGCGTTATGCTAGGTGTGTACTTTCTATTGCCCATCTTTAAAAAAACACCCTGTATGAAAGGTTATGGGTTCCGAGTTCACGAATTAACTTTTGCATTCATCACGTTGTTGCCCTAAATCGGTCCAAATCGTTATTTGTGCAACAATTTTGTTGGTAAAAACATCAAACTCGATGACCAAGAAATGACACATGGGTATTTTTGACGACCAAAATATTTTTACTCAAACTATGTAACAATTTTCTTGGGAATTGCTCAATTCTCAAGTGGTCCATGTACCTATATTTTTGGTGACAACATATTTTTGGTCAAAAAATGTCAAAATGGTTACTGATGTCCCGTTTTTCCTGGGATGAAGGTCTCGTATCGACTTCGGATGTTCGCGATATGAAAGCCTATGGGTTCCAGATCAAAAATTAATTTTGACATCGGAATCTATCACTTTATTGTCCAAAATCGATCTTTATTTATACACTATCGTAAAGTAGTCCGTCCGTCGGCCTATGTGGGTAGGTTGAGCTGGAATTTCCAGCCTAGAAATACCTACGTAGTGGTGGTTTTGGTTTAATTGTTCTTACAAATACAGTTCGCATACTTTGGTAGCATAGGTGACGTTTAATTGATTTCATTAAAAAAATAACTCGCACATTTTCGAAAGCTTGTCAGCTTTTCATCTTACGCCTAAGGCACATGTGCCAAATTTAGTTACTTTCGGTTTAGTGGTCTGGCAGGAAATAAGTGCACAGACAGGCGAACTAATAATCATTGATATCGGGTTCCTAAGGGATCCAAAACTAAGATTTCTGTCGTAAAAGATGGACGCACCTCTCTTATACATGTACTACGTATTGCAGGTAGTTAAAAACATAATTAAAGTGATAATATATTGTAACGAATATTCCAGAAATCCCGATAGACATCGAGGTGCCATAAAAGATTAGTCATCGCCGCTCAAGAACAAAGACGGATGCCCCCATCTGGCTAAGGACCTGGTGTTCACTGAGGTCTCATTACCACGCATTCGTATTCTAGTGCGCTTCACTCAGTTACTGATCCTGATGCTCAAACCTGGAAATATGGCTTGTGTGTTTTAGAACATTCGTAAGCGTCCTTGAACACTCTAGAAGTTTGCTATATAAGCAATTCGAATTGTGGTGATACCAGATCACTTTTTCGCGTTTTTTCAGTCAATAACATAAATTCCCTTCGCCGTTCATCGTATTTAGCTTTCATTTCGTTTTCTACCTTATGAATCACCATCCATCATCTTTTGGTATTATCTGGTTGTATTTTGGTGTTCTTCAGTTTTTTACATTATATGGACTGCGCTTTTAATTGTCTTTAATTTGATTCGCGTTTCGATCGCGATTTCGTATTTAATCGACGGGAATAATTCTCGGGATGATTGCACGATTATTTTGGATTCGCGGATTTAATTCACATAAATTAATTATTTCTTTAAAATTTCACTTTGATTTTGATCAATTAGAGTGTCTATTTTGCGGATTAATTAAACTAATTTAATTAAAACTGAGCTATTCGCGGTAACTGTTATCAATTGTCCCCAGTTGAAAATGGCCATAAAAAAGTGGGAGGTAATTTTTTACCCCTGATTTTTTTATATGTCTGGTCAGTCACGCATTTTTTCAAAAAGCGAAGAGCTCATTAAATTGAGCTGGAACTCTTGCCCATTTAGTCGTCTATCTATCTCTGCTAGCAATCAAATCCGCATCGGCGAAAAACCCACCCTGTATGTGCGTAAAAAACACACAATTCGTCACTGTCTTTAAATTACGCGCAATTGAGCGATTTTAATTAAAATTTAATCAATCGATCAAAACGCAGATGGACTTAAATCCGGAACTTTAATTAAATCGACTGACAATTTTAATTAATTGATCCAATTTCGTCAGAATTAAAGTTCCAATTCCCAGAAATTAGATAGTAATTAAATTACTTCAATCAAATTCTCAAGTTAAAACCAGACAATCGGTGTCTCTTTACCGTCAATCAGAGGGTGCAGTAGTCGAGACCAAACTATGATCTCTTTACTTTGACTCCGTTCAAAACAATGTTGCAGTATTCCAAGATTCAATTGAAGGACATCTAGTAAACGGTGAGAGTAGGGGCCAGTTGCCATGTTCGCTAAAATGATGTGCAAATTGAAAATTAATTTTATTAAACTTAATTGATGAATAAGCGGCCTTTTTGGAAAAGTAGCTATGTAGCGGTCAGTGGGAGAGGTGTCACTTAATTGATAAAATGTAAATAATCGAGAGCGTTATCCCATAAAATTCTGTCTGCATAAGACCAAATAACCTAAGTAATAAAATTTCGCAACAGTAAAAGTAAAATAGATACTATAATAACGTTCAATTGTGTTTTAGCATAAAAAGAATGGCCTAATAAAATTCAATATCAGTAGCAGTAAAATATGGTAATAAAGCGCGCTCTTTTTATTTTTTAGCGTGCTGTCATCGATATTTATAAAGATATTGAAAACAAAATTTTAAAAATAGTACAATCAACAAGTTGGCAGTTACACGCAATACAACTAAAAAGGGGTGTTGAGAAAATCTATAGATACCTGTATATAAAATAAGGGTCGTCATGCGACTTCCCGCGTTCCGGAATAATAATTGTGGCAAAACAGAGACTATTTTACAAGTAATAGACAAAATTTGGAAAATTTTGTATAGGTTTGTACTCGGTGGAAGGAAATCAATATATAATACATGTCGCGACGCAGGAGGTCGCTGGCGTCAGCGCTTTTCCTTCTCGTACTATACGGAAAGCGGCGTGAAAGTAGTGACACAGATATGCTCATCATCAGTACATACCAATAACATTATTATGACCACACAAACTAAAAGCCTTTAAGTTCCATTGTCCGAATAAGTTCTGAAAAACGCTACTTAATCCATATTTCTCTTTACATTTGCTTTGTCTAAGCAAAATTCCATTGGGAGGGTTTTCCGCGTATACTAATTTATATAAAATTCAAACGGGAGTAAGTATTAAAAACCGCGATATTTGAAGCCGTAATAGAAACTCGCCGCCGCCATCAACATTCGTCCAAAGGAGTTTTCCTGTAATGCTGTTGAGAGTAAAGCCGAAAATTGAGCTGGGAAAACGGTTTAGAGAGGGGTGGCGTCGGCGCGCAGTCTACAATCCCCAAATAGATTAGGCCGACTCGGGGTGTGTACTACAGGCTAAACGCGACCGGTAGCGGCTTTTCCAGTACTCACAACTTTTACTGTAATTATCATGTGAATAGTAAAACGCTAATTTGGCATTAACATCATGCGTGCAGATTTTCACGGTTTTTTTGGAGATGTTGAAGTAAACCGCATCGAATCTTTTTAGTATGATTGGATATTGTATATAGCAATTGGCCAAGTAGTGTTGTGTAGAGTTAGGTAAAGTAAACATGGTGTGTAAAAATCTGATGACCAAAAGGACCTGCGAACCACTTGCAGGACTATTCCTGGTAATACTAATCTTATTGCAAATATTACCCGCTTCTTTAGAGCAAGATGAGGATATTCCGCATAATGAGTAAGTTATCTAACAATTTTCTTTATGTGCACCAGTCACTTTAAATAGCCCATTTGGTTTTAGTGGAAATCGCTAACACCAAAAGCGTTTCAATCAAAATCATTACTGGTAACCTTAGTACCCATTACATTGTCAACGTATATGTTTGGACTCCATTAAAACTATGTATGATTATCACCAACGTCTTTAGTCCATTGATTTTGTGTTCTTATCATCAATCTTTCTTTTTGCCTGACACCCTACCAATTTGTAATATGACACAAAAGCACGTGTCCCTAATTAGCAATATAGCATAGCTCGTATTAGACACTCCTCATCAACTTCTTAAAATTAATAGCTACCGACGCAATTTATTGGGTGCCAATAGCATCGGTTATAGGTCATAACAAACTACGGCACAGTTCCCACTTGGACCACCCTTGTATATGTAAACCGAATCCAAATGTCTTAACTATCTTTATATCACAAGAGCTCTAGAGTAACCCTTTCCCTTAAAACCCTAGACACACAACATCATTTTAAAGTAAGTTTTCAAACCTAGGATATTTACATACCTTCGGGGGTTAAGTCGAATATCCAATTTATAGAAGTGTCTGGTAGCTTTAGACGTATCAACGACGAAGAGGTGTGCTTAGTTTAAAATGAAAGGGTGCGTCAAAGATGAGATGATGGGGGCGTCGGTGAGGGTGGAAAAAGGTCATTAGAGGTGAATGAAAAACAATTGAACATGTGCGTTATGGGGTGCATAATAATGGAGTTGCTGTAGTAAAATTTTGAAATATAGATTCGCTCTTTAAACGCGATTCACTTCATCAATTTCGTCTTTCGTTTTTTCCAAAAGGGTGTCGTTCAATAACCTATTAAAATGTGGCATTTTATTTTTATTTGAGAATTCCAAGCAAATAGTTCGTGTCCGCTTCAAAGACAATCTGTTACATAGTTTGAATATCCTCGGGAACTTATTAGTTTATAGCTGTTATACTAAAGACATTGATATTTGGGTGATGTCTAAAACGCACAAACTGCGGAAATGTTGAATTTACGTTGTGGGCTACTCCAATTTTTGGGCATCTTGTTAATTTGGCACAACTCATTTGGAAACAATTGTAGGCTAGCCGATTTTTACGCTCTACCAAAAATAAAGTGTCAATCTACGGAACGATGTTCCGGATACACGGTAAAAAAGACATGGATCTTTACGCAATTACCTTCATGTCTCGTAAAGCATTTTTAATTACTAAACACATTACAAGATAATTAATCGTATATAAAGTACAGCTAAACTAGCGTTCTTTTGTAAAGAAAGCACCTTCTTCAGGTCAAAAGAAGAACTTTAGCTCGCAGAGCACAAACCCACCGCTGGTAAAACAACTGAGAAGGTGGAGGGTGGACTGTTACCGAGTTATATAAACATTGACCGATTTTGACACATGAAGGACCAATGTTGGCCAAACCGCTTTCTGGAAACTGGAGTTCAATTGTTTGTTCTAAAAATCGTTGAACTCCTAGTTAATATAGTGATTGTGTGTTCTCACTGGCCTTTCAGTAACTGCAGCCACAATTTCTTTTTACCCTGCCAATGTACGAAAGTAAAAATTAAAATGAGCACTTTCTGGTTAAATGGAACGGTATACCTATTTTGTATATCTCTAATACAACAGTACAATTATGTGTACTTTTTAATGTAAAATTCATTGTAAATTTTAATTTAGTGAGCTTCATGACGTAACAAAGGAAATAATAAAATGACGTTTCTCGCACCTACCGTAATTATAATCCACTTTTGCCTTTATAAATGCTTGAAAATAAGTTGAAATATCGATTTTGTGTTTCACGGGTAAAACCTACTGGATTAAATTAGTGCATTCACATTTCTAACGAATACATACGTTTTTGGGGTTTTTTATTTGTTTATTTATTTGAAATTGATAACAATTCGCATTTTGAGTAATATTTACATTATGGAACCTGATACACCAAAATCTCATAGAAAACTGCGGTTTAGAAAATGGCAAAAAAAATTCTGGCAGCCCAGGTGCATGTAAACATTTGTTCATTTTAGTGTAAATCATCCACGCCGTACCATTCATTGCGCATGTATCATATTTGACTGGGTTTGGAATGCGAACTCAGTTAAGTCATCATGCCACAATGATCTAGTTACCGGAAAAGATACCTGGTTCGCACCCAGGCGGCTCGGGTTCGATTCTTTGTGCGAAAAAAATTTTTTTTACTAAATTGCATACACAATTCCGCAGAGTTGGACAAATTTTTTTGAAAAACAAACTTACACAAAATGCTTTAGACATTCGCAGTGTGTAATACGGCGTGGGTGATTTAGACAAACTTGATGATTTTTCAGTTTTCAGTTATTCACCTCAAATAAATTTGGGATACTATTGAATCCAGCGATAACAAGTTTAACACATGCGCAAACCAGCTTAAGTAAAAATTTCTGCTATGTCTGTATGGCATCAAACAAGTGAATACTAAATGCTTGGAAAACATTAATAGTTGCATATCATGAAGATGAAAAACATTCTACCATCTTTCCTCTGCTATATCTGTCCACAGTAGAAATTGATGCTATTTGCTAACATTTCCGAAAGCACGCCCGTATCGGGTAACCTGCTAACCAAGAATGAACAGCCTTTTTGGCACTAGCACGTGATTTATGAATCTCTTAAGGAATTGTTAAGTGATAACAACCCCATATACCTACTGGTATACTCAAGATTCTTTTAATCATACACGATGTGGTCAAAATTGATACGGCAAGCGGTTAAAAACGTCCGCCGACAAATGACGGTGACGGAGAATTGGACGGCAAACTACCCGGTGAAACCCAATCGGGCGACGTACAACTAGACGAAAGATGAAGAATGTGATATTACACAGGATATTTATTGCAACAAATCCGCCCCTATTTTCTGGGAAAAGGGCATTTTCTAAAATTTGTCTTGCAAACGTAATTAAATTTATCCAAAATGAACAATCAGATTTTTATTTGTGTACGCTATAAAGTAATTTAATATTTACAACTGGAGGCAGTACGGCCATTGTACCAGAACATCGTCATTTGCGGTGAGCTTTAAAAAACAGAAACTATAGCTTTATTAACGGCAAATAACTTAATACCTGCACCACAAAAAAAAAGAAGAGTAGCAACAACACAAAATTTGAATTATGGTGGTGCGTGTCGTGTGCCCATGTTTGAATATGGTCTGGTCCAAAAACAAGAATACCATCTATAAGGTGTATTGTAGTCTGGTGGAATATATGGTAGCTGATACGCATCACACCACAACTAGCAGTGGAATCAACAAAGCGTCAGCAAAATCAACACTGCGTTTTCCTCACGCTGTGCGAAACAATCATCCCCAACGGCGGAGGGTTTTATAAAGCAACGCGCACGCGCCAGAATATATTCTACTGCAAGCTGCCCTATAGTAAGCGGTAGGATCAAGCCGAGCTGTCTTACAGTGATGCATTACAATAACGAAGCCGAGCTGTCCTATGGTGAGGCATTACGACTACACAAGCTCCAAGCGCGACAAGTCGACAGCGATACGGCACTACAAACATGGTCGTATCCACTCCTCAAAAAGAGCAGAAGTGTTTTACGAATGCATTCCTTATACGCTCACCAGTGCTACCACTATATTCAGCTCGCCTAACCTAATTAGTCATCGCCACAGAGTAGAACTACAACAAAATAAGAGGTGCATAATTGCCCACTTGCCAACACGTCACAGACCGTCATCATAACGGTTTTACTTTTCCGGAGCTCCATCCGGCTAGTCAGAGGTGAAGAGATGAAACAGTTTAAATATTTTAATTGAATTATTAATTGTGCAAATTTTAAGAAGCATCGGATACTCAAGTTCGGAAGGACCGCGGATTTATTGCTGTTAAAGGTCGGATATGTTGTCGGTCAAATAAAATACTCCCTTCGTGTTTTATTTTTGGTGGTGCGTGGTGTTGAAACGGCCACTTGGGGTTACTTGCAGACTTAGATTAGAATAATTGGCTGTAATTAGTCGATTATTTACAGCCGTGAACGTTACACTTCGTAAGGATAGGCATTCAAAGACGCTTTCACGTTTTCATTTTTAGATACCCCGACACAGGGGTGTATCATGGAGTCTGGTTTTCCTTAAAGCGGAATACCCTTCAGGTTTCAGTCGGTAAGCGATCCGGGACTACTTTGCCCTCATGTTCTGCGCAAGCGCCAAGTTCAAGGTCATTCGATTCAGTTCGGTTTGTTGACGGAAACAGGTGGGTTAAGCGAATCTGATTCTATTATACGGACCTATTTCTACTGAACATACCTATTTCTGTTGAACTGATCTGTTTCTTATAAACAGACCTGTTTCCGTCAACATACATAGCTTGGCGCATACGCAGAACTCAAGATCAAAGATGTCCCGAATCGGTCTTGCTTACCGACTGGTTTCCAAATAAGGCGGGCTAAGATAACCTGGCTTACACCCTTAAAGGATTCTTCCGATCGATTCAAACAACCCCGCATGAAAATCCGGTTGAATCTCTCTGCATTAACAGTGAACAATGACAATTGCGTTTGAGTCAGGTTAACTGACCTAATGCACAAATCCAATATATCAATGCAATACTGTGTGACTTGAAGACCGCAGGTTTGTATACCTTACCAGATTTGACGTTAGTACAGGCAAGTATGAAGAGCAATGCATTCTAAACTAGATAAAATTAACAGGTCTGGTGAGAATAAATGAATTAAACGGCAAACCAACACGTTTCGGGAAAAGTGTCCGGGTAGTTTTATTGGGGACAAGAAGGAGCATAAACAAGTGAGAAATTTCAAAGGATGGGACGATAGCGGGCTAAGGGAGGAATTTTACAATACCTTTTTACATGGGTTAACAAATAAGATGACTTTGTTACAAATGTTTGTTGCAATGTCCGGAATGCACTACCAATTTTCGAAAACTCCCTCAGCTACCTCCTGTGATATCATTTTT